TCATCACGTTCGGGAGACTCTCTGGGCTCATGGCTGGCACCTGTGATTTCATTAAACCCCACAGATAAAAACCAGGGGCGTCGGGCCTGAGAAGAGGGCTGGCCATGAAATTTCGGCTTTTTTGACTGGTCACGTGCCCTCTAAAGTGTTCCTCCGGCCAGGAGAGGCTCGCTCTTTATGTGCTAGATGGAGCCCCGTCTTTTTTGGAAACAGTGTACTCAGTTACACCCTCCAGAGCTGTCACTATCTAACGCCCGAGCCTTCTCAGCACCCGAGCGTAGCGTTCCTTGTTGACGGTGACCGTGGTGCCTTTCGATGTTTCGAGGGAAAACGGTCCGATGAGACAGGCGGTGGACATAACACATCATTACGTCAATGTGAGACTGTGCAGAGGGCTCTATAACGTTGTGCCCAGAGGGAATGAAGCCCAAACTTGACAGTTCTGGGTTGATTTTACCGCTCATTCGGACCGTTTCCCTCGAAACATCGAAAGGCACCACGGCCACCGTCAATAAGGAACGCTACGCTCGGGTGCTGGAGAGGCTCTAGCGTTAAATAGTGGCAGCCCTGAAGGTTTTAACTGAGTAATTGTTTCCAAAAAAGACGGGGCTCCACCTAGCACGTAAAGAGCGGGCCTCTCCTGGCCGGAGGAACACTTTAGAGGGCACGTGACCAGTCAAAAAAGCCGAAAGTTCATGGCCAGCCCTCTTCTCAGGCCCGACGCCCCTGGTTTTTATCTGTGGGGTTTAATGAAATCACAGGTGCCAGCCATGAGCCCAGAGAGTCTCCCGAACGTGATGAAGACGATTTGGAAGGTCGCACGTAGAATCCACCCGATTTGTGCGCTGAATTCATCTCGGAGGTTGCGCGGTACACATATCTCTAAATTCTGCGAAAAAGAGGTTACTCAGAACACGTGCTGTGGGGGACGCCCAGGAGCGAGAAAGAGTGTGAATGACACCAGGTATAAAACTTCCAGAAAAGGTGATTCAAATGCACTAATTCATTTTGAGATATTACTACTCGATTTGATGTGACGGGCTGTTAAAATCAGAACATATTTTTCTTTCCACCCTGTAAATGGACGAATCAGTAGGTACCTAAATGGCCAAATGCAGCGAGTTGAGGGGGGAAGAGGGATGCGGATAGGTACCTGCCTAGAATAATTGAATTCATTTAAATCAAAATGTATTTTCAGTGGGTAGGTACCTAGTCAACACACACACTTACACTTAGTTAGGTACACTTACAAAGTACGAGAATTTAGAAGGCCACTTGGCCTGTGGGAGTCCATTGAACCTCAATATCATGATCCACCTGTCCATCACTAGGTATCCTTCCTTATTACATAGAAACTTTGAATGGCATGGCAATTTATAATTTTAAATGACAACATTTTTATGTTTCTTCTGTAGGTAGGTAGGTAGGTAGGTAGGTAGGTACACCAGACTGCTATGGACACTTTTCCAAGTTGGTGGGGCAAAAAACCTAATGTATGTCTTGGTTTGAGTCGTTTGATTGAGTTGATTGATTCCTTTCATTGTCGCGTTTGAGTCGATTGAATCAATTCCCGGAAACTGCTCTGACTTGATTGATTTGATTGATTTCCCAAATTTGTCGTGATTGAATTGATTGCTATTGATTGAGTCGTATGCAACCCTGGAAGCAGCAGGCTTTAAGGATCATTGCCATGCATAATTTTTGCAGTTTGTATTAAATGAACGCACGCTAGCGGCGTTTGAACTTGCAAGTATCTGACAGTCATTTTACAACACAGAAAATGTCACGACTTCTGACAATCATACACGAGGCCGGTTTTGACAAAAATATGAAAACTATATTATTTCAGATGCGCCAAACATTTCTTTGGTTAGCCTTATAGCGATTTACTCGGTTTGGTAAACTTGACTTTTTGGTATTTATGGTCACTCGTTAACCCCATTTGCATCACTGTGCGTCCGCCGGGAGGGCGGAGCTTAATGGTCACGTGTTTGTGACGTCATGCGTACGCACGGATAGCCTCTACTCCACTGACGGATTTACGGAGCCGATTTTAACATTACGAGGCAACGACAAGTACCCTTAAATTTAAAATTTTGTCAAGAAACCACATTGACGAAAGTTGGCGCTTGAGCTGAAATGTGCATTATGAAACTTTGAAGCAAATTCGACAAATATTAAGTAAATTATCGCCAAAAAACAGGGTCTCATGGGGTTTGAAATGCATAGTAGGTTTTATAGAAAAAAACTTATGTGTCGATGACCTTTCAATGGCCTTTGACCTGACTAGGTCAAACTGGGTATTTTCAAATTTGACGTGTTCTGTACCTCAGATGTTTACGAAAAATTAGCAGAAGATGTATCATAGTACCTATTGACAGTAAGTAAGGCAAAAATATTTCTGGGGAAATTCTAGCCTGTAAAGAAATAAATCATCATATTAAGCCAAACGCGATATACGAAATATGCCCTGAGGCTATTTGACGAATCCCGGCTAATTTGGCGCCTCTCGTTGGCCCGATTGGGCTACAATTTGGTATGCACAATACCCTGATACCCGACCCGAGATTGATACCGTAAATTGATACCGTACATATTTTGGCCTCTCCCTTTAAGACGGTTCATATTTCTTATAGCATGTAAATTGCAAAAATGTAGTTCTCTGTGAGCTCTTTGGTGCATTTTAGTTCAGCTAGTAATAATGATTAAGACTATTTTTTTTTTAGTCAAAGCCTGTCTCAAATAGCCCCATGGGGTGGGGCTATTTGAGACAGTTTTAGTTGCAAAGAAATAGAAGAAAATCGGTCACGCTAGATATAATTTTTTAAACGCCATACAATTGGAAATTAAATTTTGATCATTTTGGCGAAAAAAATTGCAAACACTGTTACATGTCCTTTTTATTCAATCTTTTCCTTTTTCGTAGGACACTTCAATTTCGGTAGGGTATAAAATTGCATCACTATATGCTAAGGTTATCATAATATGATGTGACGCTAAACTTTCAAAATGACAGGATGATCATCAAGGACTATTGTAAAGTCAACTACAGTAAAATTTTGAAAGTAAGTTTTTGTATATAGCCCTGGTGACGTGAAAACAGATATACCGAAAGTCGGTGGGGCTATTTGAGACGGCTTGCTACCTTATGAAGCACACCGTAATGAATCAAAAAAGGCAAAAGGATTCCCAAAGCATTTAAGTGAATAGTCTGCATGATTGCTTGTTCCATTGTACATATCCATGTGAAGAAACAACAAAAATGTTAAGCAGTTTTGATTTTATGCCGTTTTTCATCGATCGCTGCATGCTGTATCAATTGGCCGGTTACCCTACCACATCAAGTACTTGGATAGGCTCATCTAACAGTACGTTCAATTGAAGTCGCCGATGGGATTCGAACCACCGATCTCATTATCACCAGTTCGATACTCGAACCACTCCGCCACGGCGTAAACTTATGTTTAAGAGCTTTTGTTTTTGTTTTGTTGGGTTAGGCCCTTTCGGTCCAATGGGACCATTTCAGAGCCGTATAAGAGTTTAAATATCGTAAGCTTAAAACCTAGCTGCAATAGACGCAACCAAGGGCAAGGACCGAACGTATGACGCCACGTTGACGTCACTCAAGAGGCACGCTATTGGTCGGCTGATTCGTGTAATACAGTTGGAGAATACGCGTCGAGGAGACGGGTCCGGTCAAAACGATTCAGAAGTTCGTGTTTAGGCCGAGTTTTCGCCATGAAATAGCAATTGAGATAGAAAACAAAGACCATAACGATGTAGTGAGATCATTTCTGAACTAAGTGATATAGAAAGGAAAAGAGTGGGGAGATGAAAGGATGAACGCAGATGAAAGGAGCGGGGAGTGATGTGACCAAACGTGCTTGAGTCCCTATCCTGAATTGAAGTTCTATGGTACTTGACGTAGCCAGGTGACATGGGCATGGAAGGGCACTCCTGAATACCTGTTCCGCTATGTTTTACATAGTGGACCAGTAAAACGCCTTTTGGGCGAAGAACGAGCGAGCGAGATAGTGAGCCATGCACGTGCGGAAGGGCGAGAGGGTATTTCCAACAGGCTTGTGCAAAGCACCCTTCCAACCGTTACCGGTCGCTAGCGGTGTGCCAAATCTGAACGCAATCGGCCCACCCGTTCCTGAGATCTGGAAGCGGCATTCTGCACGTGCCCACGTGCAAACGGGGTCCAAACTGACTTTTGCACGGCACCCTACTAACCGGTCCCCAATCGTGTACCAAATTTGAGCGCAATCGGCCCAGCCGTTCTCGAGATCTGGGAGCGCCCCCTGCACGTGCGCACCTGCTGTAGCACCCCAACCTTAACACATGCAGATGAATTATCTGATGGAGACCTAACTGTGTACCGAGTTTCAATTCAATCGGCCCAACTTTACCACGCGCCACGTGCGGTGGTTGGCAAGAACGCATGGTGGACATCACACCACAGAACTTTTACGTCCAAGTGACATTCAGTAAAGAAGACCGCTTGTCAATCGGATGTCCCGTTCCTAAGATATTAGCTTTTGAAGAGCGTCCCCACGGCCGGCCGGCCGGCCGCTCATACTCAGGATTTTCCCTTAATTGAGTATGAACTCGCTCGCTCGCTGCGCTCGCTCGCTCGTAATAAGTCAATAGGTATGGGACAAATAAAGCGCCTGTGGCACTGACAATATGGTCGAGGCACGATTTTGTGGCATGACCATCATTAACATGAGGAACACTTTCTTGATCGAGAAGAACATTATCTGCTATCACTGAGTGAGATTCTGCCCAGATAACGACCCACTTTTCAAGTGGGTCGTGTTCGTGTGCCTAACTTGTAAGCATCTAAATGACTATAAGTTAAATTATAAATAATTGTTTCGCCGCCCTGGGACTACCAGTCCGATATTCCCACCACGGACTGGCCTGTCACGTGACACCAGTGATCGCCGGGGACGTCCGTCACGTGAGACCATTGACGTGCTGCTGTCCGTTGGCAGGGCCACGTGACGTCATACTACTCGACCGGCCTGCAGAAGTACACCTCATTCCAGGTGCACGGCTCGCAGGAGATCCGCCAGCTCTGCGCCACGGCCGGCCTGGTGCTGTGTCTGTCGCAGACGCAGCTGCGCGGCCAGCTGCGGCGCGGCCTGCCCGCCTTCACACACAGCTCGGCCCAGCTGGAGGACCTGCAGTGCCTGCTGCCGCGCGGCGACACGGCCCTGCTGCTGGCTGGCCACCAGACCACCATGGTGTCGTTCGACATGGTGCGCGCCCAGGAGACCCAGCTGGTCGACGTGGGCGCTCACGGCTGCGCCATTCTGCGCCAGCACGCTCGGCTCATCTGCTGCGGCGCCCCCACCGGCCGGGTGACGCTGCGTGACCCGAGCTCGCTGCGTGCGCAGCACACGCTGGACGCCCACTCGGCCAGTCTCAACGACCTGGATGTGCACAACAACCTGCTGGTGACATGCGGCTTTTCGCACAGGTGAGGCCGGCTGCCGGCCGCCGTGACCGGCACAGGGCTGCGCACAATCCAATGGGGGCATTCCACGATAGATCGTACCACTTTTTTCCAATTTGACACCCTCATCTCTCGGATTTTGATGATAATTAGTCTAAGTGGTAATCAGGGGCTCTGAATCCTCCTGTAACAATTTCAGGCTTATCAGATGAGTAGTTTTTGAGTTATAGTGTATTACATGTTTTGGATCTTGCGTTGCAGCGCTAAGTTTGGCGGGCTGTAACTCTAACACGAATAATCCAAATGCCAAATGCTATACGGCGTTGAACTTGCATTGAAACAAAAAATAATATGCATTTTTTAATTTTTGAAATATAAACTATTTTTATTTATAACACAGAGTTTCCTTTGATTTGCATTTTTAAGCCTTTGGGACCAAATCTTTTTGAATTTTTATTTGCTTAAAAATATTTTTGATCAATATTAAGTAGTATGCAAAAAATTAGGAAGATGTTCTTTCTATAAATGTACTTATTTTGCGTCACGGTAACGGTCTCGAATTGTGATTTGGGGAGGGGAGCCTACACATGGCGTGGTAAAGCTGCCTAGTGACATCACTGGTTACATAAAGTTCAATTGAAGTCATTTGTGCCTCACCTTTGCATTGTTGACATTGCGTGACGTCATTCGTACGTCACTAGGGACATAAGAGTTTTTGGTCAATAACTCTCGATCAAATTGAGCTAGCGAGACGGGAAAGCTACCAATGGACTCGGGAAGACCTTGCGAATCGAATGACGTGCAATATGATCTCATTCACCCAGCTTCGTGGACTGACCCGACTGTTAACCATCTCTGTGGCGGCGCTGTTTGTCCAGCGCCGCGCTGGTTGGCTTTGCTGCGGACTCGGGGCGGTCACGTGATGCCCGGGGGCTGGCTGCCGGCTGGGCTGCCCGGTCGGGGCGCGGAGCCAAATACACGGCAGGTGTGCTGACCCGAGGTCAGCGACTTAAGCTGACCTCACCAGAACAAACAGTATACCATTCGACGCGTCTGAGCTAGGCGAACACAAAGATGCTAAAATCGCGGCTCTACGACCATTTGTTGCGAAGTTATCTACTAAAACAGGACCCGTAATTTGGGTCACTTGAAATGACCTCAGGGTTCACCAATGAACCCGAGACCTTAATATGTGGTACCAATCGCTGCATCATGTAACTGCGCACATGCTCGTTTTTTCCGCAAGGTTCTAGCTCCATTAGAGGCGAAACGGCGAGCTGGGGTCGTACCGACCCCCGGAAACCCATTTTGCATTTATTAAAATGAGGAACTTATAGAAAGAACACCTTTCTAATTTTTTTGCATGTCGATTTAAAATGACCTGAAGTTTATTTAGAAAAAATAAAAATGTCAAAAATTTTGGTCCCAAGGGCCATTATAGACACTAAAAAAAAAACATTACGACTTGTTTCAATATATAAAGCTTTTTTCCAATTATAAAAAAGCTGTATTAATCTTAGATTCATCGTTAGTTCAAAGCTGTTAACCGTCTGCTGCTTGTTTAGCTCATTTTTGAGTTATAGCTCATCAAACTCACCCTTACAATCCGAAGTTTAGAAAATATTATGCAATATAACTCAAAAAGTTTTCATCTGCGAAGTCTGATATTTTGGCAGGTGTTTTTGGAACCTATGATGGGTGACATTAGGGGAGAGTTTTAAAATCTAAGCTCCCTTGCGGCATTTGCGGTAATATGCGGCGTGTATGCCGCATCGTTTGTAAACTGCGACCACTAAATTAAAAACAGCGGGTTTAGCGGAACAAATTTGGACCCAGCCGACTACAGCGGGATACAATGGGACTCGGCTGGTCCCAGCGGGATAAAGTGGGCCACTCAGCCGGTCCCAGTGGGACAAAGTGGGACTCAGCCGACTACTAGTGGGACAAATTGGGACTCAACCGACTACAGCGGGACATAGTTGGACTTAGCCGTCTCCAGCGGGACAAAGTCGGACTCATCCGGTCCCAGCGGGACACAATGGGACTCCGCCGATCCCAGCGGGATAAAGTGGCTGTGGAACTCATCACACTAGTTATGTCCCGCTGTAGTCGACTGAGTCTCACTTTGTCCCGCTGTAGTCGGATGAGTCCCACAATGTCCCGCTGTAGTCGGCTTAGTCCCACTTTGTCCCGCAGGAACTGGCTGAGTCCCACTATGTACCGCTGTAGCCTCGGCTAAATCCCACTATGCCCCGCTGTAGTCGGTTGAGTCCCAATTTGTCCCACTGTAGTCGGCTGAGTCCCACTTTGTCCCGCTGGGACCGGCTGATTTCCATTTTGTCCCGCTGGGACCGGCCGAGTCCCATTGTGTCCCACTGTAGTCGGATGAGTCCCACTACCTACGTCCCGCTGGGACCTTACGATTGACCGAGTCCCATTGTGTCCCTCTGGGACCGGCCGAATCCCATTGTGTCCCGCTGGGACCGGCTGAGTTCCACTTTGTCCCACCGTCAGAGGATCCGACTTTGTCCCGCTGGAGCCGCCTGAAACCCATAATGTCCCGCTGTAGTCGGCTGAGTCTAACTTTGTCCCGCTGTAGAAAAAAGCACAGTGTATATAAATACAGTGGCGGCAAATGCGCTTGGTCACGTGACCAAATCTGCGCGTGCTGTTGTGGCGAGGGCACTTCCCGAAACTCTGGTGCCAACGGCATCGCGGCGCCCATAGATAATACATGGGGCCTTTTCTTTTCAGACCTATCCAGTGGCGCAGCCAGGGGGGGGGGGGTCAGAGGGTCAGCTGACCCCCCCGAAATTTCTGTCAGGGGCCCGCTCTTGCTGAAAGCTTTGGTGAAAAAGTATACATAGCGAGGGAGGGAGAGAGAGAGAGAGAGAGAGAGAGAGAGAGAGAGAGAGAGAGAGAGAGAGAGAGAGAGAGAGAGAGAGAGACAGAGAGACAGAGAGACAGAGAGACAGAGAGACAGAGAGACAGAGAGACAGAGAGACAGAGAGACAGAGAGACAGAGAGACAGAGAGACAGAGAGACAGAGAGACAGAGAGACAGAGAGACAGAGAGACAGAGAGACAGAGAGACAGAGAGACAGAGAGACAGAGAGAGAGAGAGAGAGAGAGACAGAGAGAGAGAGAGAGAGAGAGAGAGAGAGAGAGAGACAGAGAGAGAGAGACAGAGAGAGAGAGACAGAGAGAGAGAGACAGAGAGAGAGAGACAGAGAGAGAGAGACAGAGAGAGAGAGACAGAGAGAGAGAGACAGAGAGAGAGAGACAGAGAGAGAGAGACAGAGAGAGAGAGACAGAGAGAGAGAGACAGAGAGAGAGAGACAGAGAGAGAGAGAGACAGAGAGAGAGAGAGACAGAGAGAGAGAGACAGAGAGAGAGAGACAGAGAGAGAGACAGAGAGAGAGACAGAGAGAGAGAGACAGAGAGAGAGAGACAGAGAGAGAGAGACAGAGAGAGAGAGACAGAGAGAGAGAGACAGAGAGAGAGAGACAGAGAGAGAGAGACAGAGAGAGAGAGACAGAGAGAGAGAGACAGAGAGAGAGAGACAGAGAGAGAGACAGAGAGAGAGAGACAGAGAGAGAGAGACAGAGAGAGAGAGACAGAGAGAGAGACAGAGAGAGAGAGAGACAGAGAGAGAGAGACAGAGAGAGAGAGACAGAGAGAGAGAGACAGAGAGAGAGACAGAGAGAGAGACAGAGAGAGAGAGACAGAGAGAGAGAGAGACAGAGAGAGAGAGAGACAGAGAGAGAGAGAGACAGAGAGAGAGAGACAGAGAGAGAGAGACAGAGAGAGAGAGAGAGAGAGAGGCCTACCCGTTCACCCGGGGGCCCGGCCCCATCCACCCGGGGGCCCGAGCCCCATCCACCCAGGGGCCCGGGCCCCATTCACCCAGGGGCCCGGGCCCCATTCACCCGGGGGCCCGGGCCCCGTCCACCCAGGGGCCCGGGCCCCATCCACCCGGGGGCCCGGGCCCCGTCCAACCGGGGGCCCGGGGGCGGGCTCCATCCAACCGGGCCCCGGGCCCCGTCCACCCAGGGGCCCGGCCCATCCACCCGGGGGCCCGGGCACCGTCCAACCGGGGGCCCGGGGGCGGGCTCCATCCACCCGGGACCAGGGCCCCGTCCACCCAGGAGCCCGGGCCCCGTCCACCCAGGGGCCCGGGCCCCATCCATCCGGGGCCCGGGCCCCATCCACCCGGGGGCCCGGCCCCATCCATCCGGGTTCCGGGCCCCGTCCACTTGGGGGCCCGGACCTCGTCCACCCAGGGGTCCGGGCCCCATCCACCCGGGGGCCCGGGTACCGTCCAACCGGGGGCCCGGGGGCGGGCTCCATCCACCCGGGACCAGGGCCCCGTCCACCCGGGGGCCCGGGCCCCATTCACCCGGGGGCCCGGCCCCATCCACCCGGGGCCCGGGCCCCGTCCACTTGGGGGCCCGGACCTCGTCCACCCAGGGGTCCGGGCCCCATCCACCCGGGGGCCCGGGCACCGTCCAACCGGGGACCCGGGCCCCATTCACCCGGGGGCCCGGGCCCCATTCACCCGGGGACCCGGGCCCCATTCACCCGGGGGCCCGGGCCCCATCCACCCTGGGGCCCGGGCCCCGTCCACTTGGGGGCCCGGACCTCGTCCACTCAGCCAGGGGTCCGAGCGGCGAGCCCCATCCATCCGGGGGCCCGGGCAGCAAATTTACAAACTGTATACACGTCTTCGGAGACCGAGCCGTGACGTCATGCCAATGGGCGGAGTCTTCGGAGACCGAGCCGTGACGTCATGCCAATGGGCGGAGTGAAAGGCTGTAGCGGCGCTTGGCAGGTGACGTCAAGTGCAGGGGCGGAGCGGAAGACTCGCGGATCGTGGAGCTTACCTACTCGATGAGAAATTGTAATGTTGTGTTGAATATTTACAACTAGCTAAAACCCCTGATCTTGTTTGGGAAAATAGTTCATCCGAAAGACCAAGTTATACTTACGATAGCATAATTGGTAAACACAGTTGCCTGCAAAGTT